CGGGGAAGAAGAGGCGGAGAACACCGATACCGGTGGTGGGGTGGGTCGGTCAGAAGAGACGTTGATGGAATACGTAAATCAGATGACTTCTAAGAATTATTAGCACATCTGTATCCGAGTTTAGTCGGATTTTTTTTTTTTTTTGGATAATTGTGGGGTTATTAATCTTAATTCCGTTAATTTTAGGTTGGAATATTTTCACACAAATAATTATCGCCGCTTTTTTGCGTCTTCACAGTATCAGACTTCACATGCGTCAAATTTTGCATTTGAAAATATCAGACGATAAAAAATATCGTCGAATTACCATTGAATTTCCGGCGGGTAATATCAATGAGCGATGTGTCAGATTTTTTGACGCAAAACTTAAATATAGAAAAAAAATTTAAAATATCAATTGCATTTCCACACCTTGCACACAATATTTAATTCATATTACAACATCATTATTATATCTGACAATACCACAGATCAAATGTATTAAAAATGTCTTTAATGAAAAAGAAGATACTCTCACAAATCTAAATTATCAAAAGTTTACAACTACACCCTCAATATAAGTTCAAACATTTAAGAAATTAAATATAAATAAAAAAATCCTTCTTAGCCTCCTCCTCCTACTCCTCCTCCCCAACTACATCAATCAATATAAGCCCAAACAATCTTCCATAATCTCTGTCAGGCGTGTTATACTCCACTCAATTCTCTGTTGGCATTCACGTATATGGTGAACCTCCTCAGTTATAGTTGTGACCTCTCTGACAAGCTCCACAATATTCAGGTGTGACAAGATCGTGCCACCCACATAAGCAAGAGAGATCTCAACCTTCTTCTTCCCCGCCGCATGCGTACACAGCTTGAATTTAAACTGCGTAGTGGTAGACAGGCTGTCAGTACTGCTGGCAGTGCTCGGGGTTTAGGAGGCCAACTGCCTCTCTTGGAGCTGCTTATATGCCTAAATAACAAAAACCAATTCTTAATTATCATTTTAAACATTAAATATTAAAATAAATATGAACAAATCAATTTGTTACTTACAAGCACCTGCCGGGCTGCTTGTCAAATCTGTGCAAGAAAAAGCTTTTAGGTGTGGCTGCAGTAGTAGCAAGCGTGACAACAGTAATAGGTGTGGAAAGGACATGTTATTACATACATACCACTCAATTCCTATCACTTCAATTTTAAAAAAACATTCATTTATTGCATCCATTTTAAACTAAGTTCTGAAAATTAAATATATATAATAAAACTTTCGTGTGAATATTTTAACTCTATCATTTTACTTTAGAATTATAAAATTATTTTAGAAACTTTAATATAAAATTTAAGCTTTAGATAATTTCAGTGATTTTCCATGCTTTGGAGGTGTCATGTAATGACAATAATCATAAACTATTATTGTATTAATTTGGAAGATTTAATGAATTCCTCTGTATTTACATATCTAACACCCAGATTCAATTTTTATATACATACAATCTTACATATGCACGAAAAAGTGTATTTTACTTTTTTTTTTTTAAGGTAAAAGTGGTGGTATTTTAAAGTAGAATGAATGATTTAGGTGGTATAAATGCAAAAGAGAATTTTAGGTGTTAGATATGTAAATACATCGCAATTAGGTGGTATGAATGTAAATGACCCAAATTTGAGTGGGCATTTATATACATATTTACATTATAACAGTAAAAAAGACAAAACTTTTGCATCGCAAGAAAAATTTTATTCAATTATTAGTTTTTGAAACGACATCTATAAATATGTCATATAAATCTTTTGTATTTATATATATAACTCCTAAAAATTGCTTGTTTACATGCATAATACACGGATTTTTAACATCATACAAACACTATTGATCTATAAAAAGATAAATTAAATCATTTTATATAAAAATAAAATATTTCATTTCATGTATTGATATATATAAAAAAGTTTTATAAATAGTAATTGTGCGGTACTTATGTTAATTTTTTTTAAGTGAAATGGAATTCTTCATGCATTTATTTTATACACAAAAATGTTTTAGCTAAAAATATCAAAATTTAAATATAAATGTTCAAAATGTATGAACAAAATAAGCACCATAGAATTGCATAATGTTGTACAAGTAAGCAAAAAAATAAATGCTAAATTTCTAGCATAACTAGTTTATAGATTGAAAAATCCCACAGTTTAGTGAAAAGAAACACAATTCAAGTGATTTTCATTGTTTATTAAAACACACATTTGAAATATGTAA